CTGTAAACACAGATACACTCCTGGATATTGTTAAACAGATACTTTTGATAGTTGTAGACGCTCTTTGAATAGATGTAAAAAAAAGTCTTCAGTAGATTTAGAAACTTCTATACATATTAAAAAATTCTCTATAGCTAAAGACAAGTCTGTGTTGTCGTAGACTGTTTCACAGCAAATGGAGACAGTTTATTTCATTCTAGCAAATAGATTCTAAATAACTTAACACATTAAGAACAACTGTTGAAAAAGAAAGAAAAGTAATCAGTTATGCTACAGTATTTATATTGATGATTTAGGGTTTATTTCTCGTAAGATAGTCGGAAACTGCTCTTTTCCTCCTCGATGTAAACTGGAAACACTTAAATCAATAATTTTTAAGAAATTCTGATTTTAAAGTTTTCCTAAAACTAACAGTTATATTTTTATTGAGAAAGTATTTAAAAATGCAAAATCTTTCTGAATAATTTAAATTCTTGGTCGTTCTGTGGTCGTTTTTATTTTAATTTTCTAGAAAGTTTTATTGAAAAAAGTGACTATTGTAAATGTTATTTTCTCATTTATAAAAAAAATCTAATTTAATGCAAATTTTTAATAATGAGAGGCCGTTTTACGAATATTAAAATTTATGATAAAAATTTGAAAAAAAAAAAAATAATATGGTAAAATTCCATTATTTAAACAAAAGATTTCAGACGGTGGCTATTATAGACCAACAGGGTATCGTTAGATCATTTGCCATATACTTCATTGCGAACTGTGGTCTTCCAATTTTGTGGAATTTCAGTTTGGTAACGCTTATTTTTAAAGGATAGGTGCTTGAATAAACACAGTGCTTTCACTCTTTTTGAAGACGATTAGCCTGTTGAGTTTCTCTATTTTTTCTCTCTCTCTTCCATGAAAAAAAAAATTATACGCTGTTATTTAGTAAAATGCAAAAGAGCTATAAAGAAAATCTTGAAATAGGACACTCCAAGCTCTTTTGTGAAATAAATCACAGCATTAAGATCATTTTATTACAGAAGCGTTCGAATTGTTATGAGTTTTCTTTTACATCAAAGTATATCTAGATACCTTAAGCTGTAGAGCATTTTGTAGAGAGGAAAGGTATATACGTATTTAAACTATACAGATTAATATATTCTAGAAAAATCTAGCCTCGCTGAGGTTTAACATTTCTGTGCATATCATTAGTGTTAGTCCATTGTCGCCCCTCATTTATGATGTCGTTATCTTTATATATGTGTGTGACGCATTGATGAATTTGTCTTGATCATTCCCTTCACAACCATGACGCATTTTGAAGTCGCTAATTTTTCGTAGGCATAACACATCTGTGATGGTGAGAAACGTTCACACGATTTGTTTGTTTAATACCTGAATCCTTAATATAATTGGTTGTTGATCGGAAAATATTGTATGATAGATTTCCAAAACAAAAATAATTCACGTTATTTACATGTAGTGACATATATAATTTAGTGATTTTTTTTAATTTAGTATGTGATAAAATAATCTTTGTTTAGCTCTCTCTTTCTCTCTCTCTCTCTCTCCTCTCCCTCCCTCCTTTCTCTTTTTCTCCAAAATATTAGATTTAGTGTGATTATCGTGGAAATAGTTTAAATTTAAATTTTTAATCAAAAAAATATTTTTTTTTCGACTAAGACTATATAGACCTTGAAATATTGATAAGATTTCCTTTAAAGTGTAAGTCTGCTTAAATCTGATTCTGAATAAATATAGACGTGTTTGTATTTCATCTTATGCTCAATTTAGCTTAGTTTGAAGACGAAGTTTTGACAAAATAGGAAGTGGAGAGATGGACTAGTTTTTATCTGGCCTGTTATATTTGTTGCCATATGTAAAATGATCAAGAATCTGTGAAAACAAAAATGTTCTCTTTAGAAAAATGTATCAAGCGATAAGGTGGCAAAAATTAGGTAAATGAGCACATATGCAACTTAATGAGTCATATTTAAGTTAAAGTTATACCCACTAGTGACTTAGTGGTAGCAGAGGTGTTAGTATTAGTAGCAGTATTAATAGTACTAGTAGTAATAAAATGTTTCAAGACAATACAGCTGCCTATATTCTGTGTAACTGTGTTTAAGGGCTGACTCGATGCACTTGTGCCCATCAGGGGTTTGGCGAAACCCTAGATGGGCGAAACATCGCCTTAAAAAAGTCTCATTAATTTGCATATGCATCCATTTATCTAACAATTGTGGGTATTACTAACAATGATTACAGTAGGTGGCAGATTCACTTACGTGTGTAGCATTGCTGGTGTTTAGGGTTTTCGGATGCTGAGACCGCAAATGTTTGGTTGATGTAATTGAAAGTTTTTGGCTGCTATAATTGTAAGTTTATTCAATGTTATAATTGGCTTTACAAGTTTAAAAACCAGTTTGGCATTATTTTGAGTCTGAGCGAATGTTCAAGCCTGCTTTGCATTGCTACTGCTTAAGTCATAATATAATTTAGGCTTTGACGAATATATCGGCTAATGAACTCATTTTATTGATGTCTCAATGAAAGTTTTGGTACCTTCTGTTATTATTTATGAATTACTTATGTATTTGGGTACATTTGTTTTTCTTTAAAGCTGCTTTTGCTGTGTTTGCAACTAAATGCAAAATTAGTTATTGCACTAATTCAAGTACGTATTCCTCATTGTCAGTTCTTAGTTGATACAGAGAGGAATCCCAGTTTGGTTAATTGCCGAGCTGTATATCTTGTGTTGTACTGCAATCAACCAGTAGCTTAACTTATTTCCATTTAGTTAACTTGAGTGGCTGTACACTCTGTTCTTTATATCTCAGCAAACAGACAGCTGTCGATACATAATATTGTCTACATTGTGTGATTTATTATTTCAGTAATTCAACGATTTATCTTTAACATAATAAAAGTATGAACTCTGCCCTCTTTGGAGTTTAACCAGTTCAGGTTTTCTCGGAACAAACCTGATTGCCTCTAATTTCCCAAGAACACTACGACTCTTATGGGTTAAGCGATGTCATTGATTATATTTCTAAATATAATATACGTTCAGTAATTGCGAAATTTATATTAAATTCACGTATGTAAAATGCTAACACCTCATTTTTGCATGAAATTAGAGTAAGTGTCACGAATTTTAATTTGCAGTGTTTGTATGTTGCAGTATCGCAGCACAATGAATTGCATATGTGCGTTTCCTGTGATGTGTCTTGAATGTACGCGTGAGAGATTAGTGCTTGTGAATGCTGTATATATATATATATATATATATATATATATATATATATTATATATATATATATATATATATATATATATATATATATATATATATATATATATATATATACTTCTTGATTTGCCGGTACTATCCCGGCCCGGGCCTTTTCTAAGTGGTGGCCCGGCCTTGGCTCCCTTTCCGGGGAGTATCTCAGACTAATGTCTGCCATGGGAGGAGGTGCAAGTACCTCCTCCTCGTCGGGACCAACTGTCCCCAGGCCTAGCCACATTCCCCGCCCTCACGGGGCTCGTAGGGAGAAGCTAGGCCTCTCTGGTCTGCCATCCCCACCTCAAGGGGGCTAATGGGAATGGCAGTCTCGTGAGCTGCAAGCTCGGGCTCAGGCACATACCCTACCCTAGAAGAGCGGGGCATGGTGTCGAATATATATATATATATATTATATATATTATATATATAGATATATATATATATATATATATATATATTAATATTATATATATATAAAATAATATATATATATTATATATATATTATATATATATATATATATATATATTATATATATATTATATACGCTGTTGTGCTTCTTTTACATTTTTATATTTTACCTTTTTTGTAAATATTTGTTATTGTTTTGCTGTGTTAACGTAGATCTTTGGCTTCGTTATGTGTTATTTATTTCACAGTTTGTTTTTCTCGTTATCTCTATTGTTACTTAAGAGCTCCGTGTCTCCCACTAGTATTTTCTTCATTACTTTTCTACACTGTTTCGTCTGTTCCTCTCGTCGTGAATAAATTAACTGTAAACAAACGACATTGACTTTCCCGACTTGACACATACCTTTTAAAGAGAATGTTTACTTTATGCACTTATTATTTGTTTTAACATATTTACCAGTGTTAATGTATATATTTCAGGATGGTATGGAACATTAAGTTATGCTCAGTGTGTCAACTGTTGTGATGTAATATATACTTAAGGTTTTGAATTACACCTTTAAAGGAAGGTGCGGGAGAGGCTTGATACCGGTGAATGGCTCTTCATCCGAGGAATAAGAGCTCCACTCCACTTCTTTGGCTCAACATTGATTATGTTCCATTCCCCAGACGCTGTATGATCCTTACGAGCTTGGCACTTCCCACTTAAATATATTAACAATAATGTCTTTGCAGGACCTGGTTTATACAAAATATATGAGAAGGTGAGAGATTAAATATGATTGTAAGAAATCTGTGACTGACGACAGACGATGTATTAAACGATATATGAAAGACAGCAAACCACAGAAGATCGACTGCTTGATGGCGGATACAGAAAGGGCAATAGAACACAAACACCATGTTTACTAGATAGAAATTAGAGGAAATGGTTATATAATTATATTATATATATATTATATATATATATATATATATATATATATATATATATATATATATATATATAAATAGGAAGAAAACGTTTACTGAGGCAGTTAAAGACGACGCAGGGATGACACGTGCAGTAAATGAGGCTGCAATATTGCTGGAACATAGCAAGTGGTCACGTGTCCAAGCCATTCAATAGAGAAAAAACTAACCAATATAATCCAAGGGTAAAGAGAGGTGAAGGTCAGATTAGGGACAAAAGGCAAACGTGAGAGGAAAATAATATTAAGAAGCTCAAATATAAAGAGCGAACAGAGAAAATAATAATATGGCGTTACAAATTGCGTAGATATCTGAGGAAAACCTATACACTTCGACTGAATTTTACAGGGGAGAAACAGGTTGAAATACCAAGCAGTTTATACTGAGTGATTCTTCTGGGTGCAAAACAGGTGATTTTTTTTATAGCAAGAAACAAGGTAAAATGAAAAGACAACAAACATTAAGGTCGAGGAGAATCGAACGTAATAATGAAAAACTTATTACATTTATATATTACTGTATATATTTAACTTAACGCTCCAACCAATGTTTCCAGTTCCCTTGCATTTCAAGTTCTCACCCACAGCCAAAGACTTTTTAAATCCACACCTAATTTCGTAAACAAACCCTATATGAAGTGCATCTTTCAATGCTCTCATATCCTGACCCGTCTTACTAACAATGTACTTTCGTCTCGGTTGTATCATTTACACTATAGCTTTCAATCTCATCCGCATCTTTCATCCTCACCCCCTCACTATCCTCTCTCCACACCAACTAACATTATCCAACTCCTTCTTTCGCTCTGCTGCATACTAATTGAACAGTTACTTAGCAGCCCGCCAAAAATAACCTTTAATTTCATATTCTAGTGTATACTGAATCTTCCACGAAGCATGTGAATTGGCTGAAAATACCTTATAAAATTAAGTCAAGCACTGACTTTATAGCCTAAAACAAAACAAAAGGAGACACAAACAGATGCACTGTTATTATAGGAGATCATATAATTTAGATATAAGAAATGCACTGATTATCAGACTGCACTGTATATATGGAATACATTTTAGGAATAATTATTTCCTGGGAGCAAAGATAATGGTGGCAGGCGAGCGAGTATAACCAAAAAATCTTTCATAAGCATCACTGAGAGGGCAGCCTTAAGAACGAATACTTAGAGAGCAAATTGACTGGGAGACAAGAAACCTGTATAGAGAAGGGATGTAGAGCGCAACGCAATTGCATACAGTGTCAAAGAACCTCGTTGTCTAATAAGCTAAAGATCCAACGAGGATGAATGGAAAAGAACCAACATTACTGGATTTATATTCAGCCAGAGTCTCGCTGTTACTGTAAGTAAGTAAGTTTATTCAGGTATACACAAATACAGTTACATATGTGTAGAGAACCTAGGATAACCCAAAAAAGTCAGACAGGTACCGAATACGAGGTACCTGTTGAAGAAAACGATCATTGTTGCGTCATTGAACATAAATTCTATATGGAATATGAGATTAGAGCAGAGATATAGCGAATATGGAAGAATTGGAGAGTTTTTCTGTGAAATGCAGTAATGACGAAAGAAAAAAAAACATAAGTGGAAAGAAAAAATGATACAGCAGCTAGGACAAAAAAATCTAACTACTACGAACTCCCACCAGGGAAGTTGAAAAAAATTCGTGAGACAGTTTCGTAGGATTAAATGACTGTTGATTGTTGCGGCTATCTAGAGGATATAAATTTGTGTCATTGTGCTCTTTCGTATTTACAATGTCTCGTTCCGACGAAATAATTTTATAGAAAGTGCTAAACAAATTATTTATGTAATTTATTTAATAATATATTTTTATTAGTGAAGAAGACAAGTTTCATGATAAAAACACAGGCTTCCATCAAGGAGTAAGTAGCAATGTTTAGAAAATAACATAGTAAATTGCAATAGTAATAGTCGAAGTAGTAGCACCAGAATTAAAGATTAAATAATAATAATAATAATAATAATAATAATAATAATAATAATAATAATAATAATAACAATAATAATAATAATAATAATGATAATGTGTTTAGTCCGCACTCTATTTCCTCCTCTCTTATTAGTAACCACTCTCACGATTTTTAAAACTGCCTGGTATTTCTCCTCACCTATTTTTATCACTTCTATAATGTGGCCGGATGTGGTGGAGGATGAAACTAGTGTCTTTTTCTTCGCTGTCCTGACCTCACGTGTCCTGACACGAGCAGGAGTGGAAGCTCAGACACAGTAGTTCACTTTCTTAGCAGACAGTCTCGTTATTTTCTTATAACTTCTCCAGGAATAAGTTATGAGAGGCCTCCAGGAAAATGTTTGAGCATAAATAAGTTATTAGTTTTACTTAATTCATACTATAACACGCGAATATAGGGAACGGGATGAAACTGAAACTACCTGGTGGAGAGAGCTGTCATTTTTTCACTTGTTTTTCTTTCTTTAATGTTCATATCTTGTGGGAACCTGTTTGAAATGAGAATCATCTGAAGATCGAATGGTCACTGGTACGGGGATGTCAATGAGAAATATAGCAAGAGTGGAACCGTTAATGGCTGCCAGTCATAGTGTAATAATTATAATCTTGATGTCCGTAGAGTTGAGTCAAATGACGAACACTAATAAAACTGGGTTAGTACACCACCTAACAATAAATCTCTCTCACGTTATTAGGTGTAGTTTAAATGAACAGTGCAATGATTCCACTGTAGTCAGACTACGTCATAGTTTCCTTCAATCTATTCTCGCACCATGAGTGATACACGTGCAGATTTGAACGTTCCTAGTGCTGTTCATCCACCGCGCTGCCAGACGTTTAGCGAACGTTTCATTAATTCGTATATTTGTGGTTAAATATGTTTCTGAGGTTTTCTATTGAGCTAACTTAACCTAACAGCATTTTTAAGCTCGCACTAAACTCTCAGAAAATGACACAGTGAATCGTGTAAGAAAGTAAACGTCATAAAATGATGATAGGTTGGTAATGAAAATATATATGTAAATAAGGCAAGGCTGCTGCGGTCACTGTAATTGCTTCCTCCCCGCTCACCTTGTCTGTTGCCTTGACATACTGCCTGGTGTGGACCGTAATATTCCATTTGGTCTACTCCAATTATCTGTTCTCGGGACATTGCGCCAGCCTTCAAGGAGAGCGGGCGTCTCGCTCTACCCCAGCCTGGATCATCAGTTAAGATTTTTTTTCTTGCATTCTTCCCGGAACGTCCTGTCCTCATACACTGGCCGCTGGGCAATTGGTTTGGAAGCCATATATCACCTACTATAGGTTTGGGAAAAAGCCAGTCGTTACGGAGTCAGTAGGTTAAAGAGGTTGCCTATACCGGAGTTTTGGCTAGGGGATCCGACTGACCTAACTGGGAATATATTGTTCCTTTCTTTGAGTAATCTTATTCTCCATTACCTACGCAGATGTGGTGATATATGCACCAGACTTAGCAGAAGGTCTCACACGGCAAAAGTCGTCCTAGTTATTATAAATCAACAAGAACTATTACTATCCTCCAAATAGCTATTATTCAAATTCAGTAAAAAACTAAGATTAGGTAAAGAAATGTTGAAATCTTCATACAGCTGCATGGCAATAATTACTTTATTTTGGAAAAAATACATTTCAGAGATTATTCACTGACAGTAAACATTCTGGAAATAATATATTTTTTAAAGTGCATATAATAGGAGTGTCAGTCACAAACCGTTATGATACGGGGAAGTTGACTGGCTGGGAGGTACACAGTACGTTATGACTGAGAGTAGAGAAGGTGGTAGAGGGGCGTGCAAGTACCGTAATTGGCGATGAGGAGAATAATTGTGTGGAAGGGAGGGAGAGAAGAATGAAAAATAGACAAAATTAAAGGGAAGAAGGTAGAGTGAGAGAAGAAAAAATGAGCTTTCTCCATTAATTAACCTTAAATTAATTCTGTAAGGAAAAAGTGTAACTACAAGTGCTATGATTAACATAATACTTTATTAAGGTCAAATGTTTCTGACCCATTTCTTCGTCACTGCTTAAATATTTAACAAAACATCAAAGAAAAAATACGTAAACTAGTGACTAATTAACTTCAGAGCTGCTACCATATTAAAAAAATCACTTCGTAAATTGAAGAACTGCTGCTTCCGCACTATTTAATAGACGATTTTTAAGTAATGACTCTAATTATGAAGATCCCATTAAGGAAAGTGCTTTGACACCAGTGAAGAGCTCTTGATCCAACGAACTGGAGCTACCCTCTCTATCCTTGGGAACGTATCTGATTGCCTCTCATTATCCCCAAGGCGGCGCTATATGATGCCTGCAGATTTTGCGATTGTAATAATAATAATAATAATAATAACATTAAGAAACCAAAACCGAAATTATATAAACATCTAAAATTGTATACATACATGAAATTCGAAATAAATGTAAAATTACAAATATGTTTAATAATGTGTCAGAAAAAGAAAATTACTGTGAATCTTCTAAAGAGAGTTAGTTGAGCTGTAGTGCACTAGGGCTTCATCCAGGCGATACTCAAAATTCTCGAGACATTAGGTCGAGAGACTTCACGGATCTGAACCTAGAACTCAATCAGTGTTAGTGACCTGCGGTGAGAGGTACACTTTACAGTGTTATTGGGAAGTGTTTACTATTGTGAAGGAGGGAAACCCGGGAAGGTCTTATCATAGTGATATATTAATCATTGTTTGCATAACATGCAAGCGATCTCTCCCCGTTCCTGCAACTACGTAGGAACCTGGATACATAAAAAAAAAAATCACACCACCTGAGCAGTTAAACCACTCGAGTCACATTCCTTAGCAATTGCAACAATGGTAAGTCACTTTGTAAAAACGATGAAAAATTTACCTGAGATACCGTCCTTTGGAATGTTGCAAAGTTTTGATATAATACGAGTGACCTCAAAAATAAATGAGCCTGTTTTCATTTTAATATCTGATTAAATCATAAAGACTAGAAAATATATTTATGCCGTGGAAAAAAGTTAGAGAGAAATAGGGACCAAGACTGGGAAGCATGCAAGACATGTAAGCACAAAAAATAAAGCTTGCAAGCAGGAACACAAGCAAGCAAACGACAGTGTGTGTGTGAGACAAAGTGAGGAAGCGGGCAAGTTAAAAGGATGGGGTAAGGGGGGGATCGAGCGAGCGAGCGGGTAGATGAACGGGAGGACAGTAAAGTGGACGGGAGGATGAGCGGGTGGACTGGCGGGTAGAGACCATGAGTCAGGTTTGTGAAGAGCCCAGCGGAAGTTATTTTGACAGACCGTTACCCTCAGTTATGTTCCGCCCCATCCCATCCCTCCTTGGCAGGGGAAGGGATGGACTACAGGTACTGAGGGATGGGAAGGTATATATTGAAAGTGACAGGGATGAATGGATGGGAACACCATTGGACACGGGCAGAGAGTTTGACAGACAAAGATATAAGAGAGCAGGCGCAGCAATAGGTGAAAGTGGTTTGAAGTAGGCAAATGAACGAGGGATGGAGAATAATCAGGATTTGAACGGGGAACAACCTGAGAGTTAATTAAATCGCATTTTTAGTAATTGGTCTTGCCTGAAATTCATTTACGGTTCTCGGTCAAGCTCAAGAGCGACTAACAAATCCACAAGACAGATGTACATACGTTGTGGCAGATTTACTTAGAGGAAGAAAAGACATGAGACACCTAGTTTCTTCATAGACGGAATATATACTTGCTGTGAATCGCGAGATGGATTTTGTTTGTCTCGTGTCGATTTTTGCTGTTCTATGTCTAAATGGTGTACTGTTGCCAATAGTGAGAAAATGGCAGATTGCAGAGCAGGCTTTTAATTCTGAAAGCGTTTCGTTCTGCGTAGCTCTACATAAAGTTAAATGACGTTGCATGAATTTATATAAATCTACACAAAGCGATACATTGTCCAAATCAGTTTTTGCAACCTATTTCATATTCAAGGTTGCTATATTGTGCTGAATACTTTAACGAGGGTGGCAAGCAGAAAACCTTGAACTATAGCGCACAGTCATTGACGAAAGTTAGGTGCAACTTGCTAGAAAACATCGGAAAAAAATATTTGAAAAAGCAAATTAAAAAAAAAAAAAAAGAAATGGCGCTCCTCATAACACTGGTAAGAATTCAGAAATTGACGATTGTGTTACACCAATTACATTGAAATTTATAATAAAATACGTTACACAGAGGGGTGGGTCGACTGCATGTTCCTACACTGTAGGGAAGCCTTTGATATAGTGCCTCACAGAAATCTAAATTTTAGAAGCAAGCTAGGTATAAATTATAATTATTATAATAAAAATGGATCAGTGTTCCTAGGGTAAACTACAAAATGGGTAAACTAGGGTAAACTACAGGAAGGGGGTGAACGGAGGGTACTGTATTAGCACTTGTTACGCGTGTCTTCCAGCGTTTCCTATTGCCGAAAAGTTCACTAGTGCAATTTGTTCAAAACGGGGGGAAAGGGGGGGGGGTTCAAAGAGAACGATATTTTAAGCAACCATTTATTCCATAAATGAAATTTTATTATTACATATAATATAATAATAAAATTTATATATATTTTATATATATTATATATAAAACAGACACATATGTCGTGCCGAATAAATAAAATTGTCAATTAGCAATAACTCGTTTAAATATCTTAAATTCTATCTTAAATATTTTTTATATATAATATACATATAAAGATTATATATATATATATATATATTATATATTATTTATATTTTAGTTAAGTTTATGTAAAAATTAAAAGCTTTGCATCAAAGGAACATTAGAAAACTTGCCTAATCATATTATAATAAGCGTAATTTAATTAAGCCAAATCCAACTAATTATTTAAATAAGTTTACAATAATTCTGTAAACAAACATAATGAAATATATATTTTTTCGTTAGGTTCAGAATGATCTTTGCGAAATTATTGCATACACACATTTTTGCTTGCCTTATTCGGCAAGAAGAGCGAATAGGCAAAACGCAAGTTTTACCTATTCGGCACGACATATATATATATACTTCTATGTAATCTTCAGCACAAGGCGGCCAGAGAGCGCCTGTGTTTTGTTCACTTGATAGAAAAAAGCAATAATAATCATTAAAAATAGTAATATTGAAAATGCTTTTACCGCCAGTAATAGCCAGCTATATCCCGGTACACAATAACTGTTATGGAAGTATGATTTTTTTCGTTTATTTATTGGAAAGGAGAAGTGACGGTGAGCAGCATTCTCTTACGACGACGGGTTTAGAATATTGAGATTTTCATGAAGAAACGAGGAAATAGAAAAACCTTGAAGATATGGAAGTGGTTTTTATTTTTTCTCAGAAATTGTCTTCAGTATTGAAGCAAACATTTTCAGGTCGATTTCTGAGGTAAAAATAATTTTTATTTCCTTCTTAGTTCACTTCCACCAGGAGTTGGATGCGCGTCGCAGATTCCTACAGTATTCTGACCATAGGTTTCATTTCTCCATCTATAATTTATTCGTACCTATAAATAAATTCCCAATATATTGGCTTAAGAACTGTACCTGTTGGTGTGGCTGACTGAGGCAGCTATTCCTTAGTCCAAATATGAAGAATTATATAATCACGAGAAAACACTAAACCTCTTAGGATCATAGAGAGCCTGCTAAAGGTAGATTATCTGCTTTTAATCTAGAGATGGATATGTGGTTTTTAACAATACTTCAAACTAGAGACAGAGGTAAAAGACTTCAAATAATCTGTTGTGCAATAATTTCTTATCACTAGAGGGGTTGAAAATACGATTAGTAGAATGTTTATTCGTGTTTTATTAATTACTTATAAACTCCTAAATATAGATGTCACTGTCATTTAACGAATCCATCTTGGCAGAATCGTATAATGATTTTTTTTTTTTTTTGTTGAAAAAAATATTTTAACTAATTCAAATAAATGTCATTAACGCTCTAAACTCAGGCTATTATAGTTATTTGTTTCCAATACATGTATGTACATTTGTAATGGCATAAGAAAATAGAGCTCAGTGTCATTAAACAGAACTAAGAACAGTATGTGTGTTCGCCTAACATAAAAAGCTGCTTGCACACATGTGCTCTTTTAATTCGCAGTTGCCTTTGTACATGTCATTTTTTTATTTTGAATGTTGTATAATGCAAATTTTTTAGTTTTTCACAATGGGATCTAGCTTTAGCAACCCAGGACATCGCTATCATTATTAAGCGATCATAAGGTTAGAAGCCACGAAGCAAGAATTGTGAAAAGTCAATGTAAATGCAAATGCTGATGAACATCTTTATGCAAGTTTACAAACCTCTAGATAATAAAACGCTATATCTGCAGTGTATTTTTCCTCGGTATAGCGTTTTTTTATTAGCAAGTGTAGATGAGAACAGCCTTACACATTTATATAACTCTGTATAATCTTATAAGTTGGCTTGGGTTCTAATATGAGAAGTTGTACTTGTCTAACAGCGTTAAAGTGCATGGAATAACACTGCTTATTAGTAGTTGAAGTGCTTAAAGTAAGGATGTTTGTATTTTTGGACGGCGACACTGGGTCGTGGCTTCCAAATATACACGTTGGAAGGTCGTCCATTGTAAGGAAAGAATTTGTTGAGGGTCAGCCATGGCTTTTTTATGGGCCGGATGGTTGTAGTTGTAGTCGGGGTGGTGATGGTGGTAGTTGTGGTTTGAGGAGTGGTGGTGGTTGTGGTAGCTGGGGTAGTGGTCGTCGTAGTGGTAGAGGATGTAGATGATGGAAGATTCCACAAATCAGGAATGGAGGTGGCCTGATTCCAGTGGTAGATCTGGGTTGGTCGGCCGTTGTTAGTGAAATCGAGGTCCAACTGAAAAGGAAACAAATCAGTTCACTTTTAATGATCAAGACGAGGGCCACATGGTAAACAATAGTTAACAGAGGTACCAATGAGAGGGGGAGGGGAATAATTAGCTATACCCTCTAGCACTATAGAAATAATGCATTTCACACTATTTGGCATCACGTTTCGTCTCTACAGTCCATTCTTTGTAATCAATCTATACAGTATATAATTTTGATGCTTGTTTTTAATATATTAATAAATCAAAGCTAGCATACCCTGTGGAAGGGAAATGAGGTGGTGGGGTAGGACTCCTGCTGCAGGTTGTTGTTGACGTAGAAGTAGGGCATGGGCGGCAGTTTGATATAGTAGATGGGGGAGTCTCCCTGACGAAGCCTTTCACCCTGTGTGACCTGGGGAATACCTCCTCCACGGTCCAGCCCCATGCTCTTCAACACCTAGAGACAAGTTAAAAGATAAATAAGTTTTGTTACCTTCAAGCTCAGCACATTGATGCTAGTGGAGGGCTTTTGGTCCGAGTAATTAAAGCAATCTTCTCCTCCTGATCAAACTTTATTACCTATCATTCCTAAGGCTCTATATTACCATTAAGGCGTTTAGGCCTTCCACATGAGCAATAATAACCATTGTTAACAAACTTCTGGACAGTTCCGATTACCTATTTATGTAATTTTATCGCTTTATACCAGAAAACATTTTACCAGAAATCATAAAATACACTTAAAATGTTTGATAACCACCACATAACAGAATGAAAATAAATCCTTTCGTGATAAGTGTCTTTATGAAGTGCAGTCAAGCATTCCAAAACAAGTTTACCCCTAATAATATTGGTCACAAAGATTCTATTTCTTGGTCTTACCTGTCCCTCCATGAATCTCAACTTGTTTTATTTATCAGTATATTTAATGTGTGTTCATTAGATATAGCAAATGTGATTGGTGCCATATTGTTAGCTAAGACTGTCTAGTACACGTCTTGGTATTATGTTTGAGGTGCAAATTATTCTTGGATTATTTATAAGTGCAAGATATTTGTGTGTGTTTGTGACTACATTTGTATGAGTATCTACAATGCAGAGCAATGCTTATGGTATCCTGTGTACAGTGGTTAATATCGATTAGGTTTGTTATTTTGTGCAAATATTTCTGATTAACGGAATGAATATGCGAGACGCATCAATATAGCCTATAATAAAGTCAACAGAGAAAAATACCCTAAGGTTAACAACACAGCTGTACACAAAGGTCAACAATTTGCAAGTGTGGTGATGAGGTGTCACAGGTGAAGTGTTTACCTGGAGCGCTCCTGGGCCGTCGAGTGGTTGCATCTGGCCGCCCACCACCACTAACACCACAGCGAACACCACCAATACCACGCAACACCTACAGATATAAAAAGACCTTTTAGTGATATTGTACCACCATCCCACCTCTTCCAATGCCAGTAGATCAGAAATGCTGTAGGTGCCTTATTAACGTTGGCATTTAAACACAGTTCATTATTAACATATTTGAAACATATGTAAAATTGATAAATGAATGCTAGTGATGAAATGACTGAATATGCAGTGCTTATTGTTTTGAGTGCGTTTGCAACTCATGAAATGCTAGCTTTAAGTTTCATAACGTAGTATATTAAAAATTAACTTATTTAAACTAGAATAAAAAAGTGTTTCAAATTTCTATTTTATTGCAATATATCAATATTTAATTAGAACACTCAGTGTTCCATCGAAGATACTTCTGATAAGAGCAAAATGCCAATAAGAATTAAATTCAAAATATATCGATAAACAGTTAAACAGAACTAGAATTTACTGAAAATAAGTCTTACATCGGTGTGAAAGAAAGGGCTGTGAATTGCAGAATAACGCAGTATAAACAATACTAAATAACCCCTGAGAAATAGAATAACAAGACAACAGGATAAAAGTTTAGATCAGAAGAATTGGATGCGACGTTTAGAGGGGTGAAAAGAAGACATGAACAATGGAGACAAAGACAGTTTTAACCAAAGGCAGATGAAGCAGAAAACACTATCAGTGATGCGTGAAGTGACTGACAACGTAGTATCAAGCATAATGGATGGTAAACACAAAAACAAACATTGCATAAAAAAAAAATCTCTGCCAAGAGATGTTTGTTTTAAGATTAACGTTCGGTATCTGGTAACCCTTCACCAGTAAAGCCTTGAAGTTGTTTAAGGGTTATTGATCAACACAATTAGTTTCACTTGTCTTCCTTGTATTAAATCCAACATTTCTCATTTCCCTAGGCCATGTACGATCCTTAGAAGCTTAGTTAGGTTAATGTGTGTGGCAACTAGAGGGAAAAATGTTGCACAGTTCCTAAGCAAAAGTAAATTTAGAAAGGGGTAAAAGGGATCCAGTAATATAAAAAAAAAGAATAGCAAGGCTTAACTGGAAGCAAACGCGTCAGACCTGTATTAAAATGGCGTAATGTCGGCAAATTGAAAAAATGACACAAGTTCCGACAAAAAATTATTGAAACAACCTTTCGCTCTGTAAAGAACTCTTATCAGCTCGCGAATTGATAGAACTATACACAGAGCGAAATGTTGTCCTAATAATAAATTATTTTCCAACAAATCTTTTTTTTTTATTACACCGAGATCTTCAAAAATAAACCACATTAATAAAAACAATCCATATATAACGAAATATTTTGTTTAAGAACGCGTCCCTTTAAGATAATGGCTATAATGCTAGTGAAGGGCTCTTTATCCGAGGAATTGAAGCTACCCGTATTCCTTGTATGAAACCTGAATGCTTTCCATTTCTCTGACACTGACTCTTATGGGCTTGGCACTTCCTGTTGAACCTAATAATACCAGAACACCTAATGACATTTGGTTATGAAGACCCTTTTAGGGAAAGCTGTATTAATGCTGGTGATGAGCTGTTACTAAAAATTTGAGCTGTCCTCCCCTTTCTTCGTATCAAACCCAGTTACTTCCTTTTCCCCAGGCGCTGTATGACCCCTACAGGGTTATTTCTTCCCCGTGGCTAGAATAATAATTCTTGCTGTAAGCAGTGTTCCTACCGATAATACATTCACCTTGATTGTCATTAGTTATTAAAAAATATTTATTTACTATAGTCAGAGTATAATTTTAATATACTCATGGGGTGGCGCTAAGCTCATAAGCATTGTTCAGCATATGAGGATTGAGAAGTAATCAGGTTTGTTGGAAAGAGTTGGAGGGAATCTTTCAGCTAGATTCTCAAAAGCTAAACATTTATAATGCTCAGTTTCTACACTCAGTATAATCTGGTTCTACATTCAGTCTATCAGATTCGATAGGAGCAAAATTAATCGACTATTACCCAAGCCGGCCTTTCAGATGGGGGTTCCTAGATACTGGCGGAAAGCTTCTAATCCGAGGAATTAGAGCTGGTCTTCTTTCCTTGAATCTCGCATTCCCAAGGCGCTGTATGACTCCCACGGATTTAGAACGTTTTTATGAGTATAATACTAACCAAACCGGTTCAGAGCTAGGCCAACTAAGGTAATACTTAAAAAGGGAATCACGTTTAATGGAAAATATAATGAAGGGTTGGGTTCCCACAATGATACCCTGGGGTATGTTGCCTGCTTACCTGGAGCACGGATGGTGGCTACCGCATCTTTAGCATATTAATTTCCGGTTGTGATACCCAGGCAAAACAACGCTGCAATTTGCTTTTTATGCATAATTACATAACATTTAAATTACTAGTTGCAAAGTTATTTAATATCATAAGTCTTTTATATCCAAATTTAGCAGGTATCTAACATTTTGTTAATGCTAATTAAATCTGAAGCTTCGTTATAATTTTCCTTCAAAAACATTACCAGTACGACAGACTTTGTTGGTCATTCTACAAAATATTTATTGTTAGACACCTGAGTATATTATCCTTAAACCGCAGTAATTAGCGCTGTGACTTACGAGACAGTCTAAATGAATCTTCCTATTTTTTTCCCTTTTTACTAAAGTTTAATCATGACTTCCTGGTCCTGCAGTTCCACTGGGTCAGCTTCTTTCATGTGACGCTGTCTGAACCAATCAGTTTCTCTATTGTCTCGGAAAATATACTCTCTCTCCACTGCAGTCAATTTTTATGGACGAGTTGGACCCAAGAATTCTGACCCAAATACAACTACTAATACGTGGGCAAAAAGTGATGCAGCAGCGTCTTGTACACGCAAAAGTTTTATTTGTCTTTGTCAGAGAATTTTAAAAGACAAATTTCGCCATTTACTCTGTGTTCGTTCCAAGACATTGCACATGACTTGGTCGCCAACATCCCACCTGGCCTTGTCTTCTAGATCCGATCTCGCCTTGTCTTCTAGATCCTACATGACCTCATCGTCTACTCTAGATCACATCTAACCTGGGTGTCCAAACTCCATTCGACTAATCTTGAAGATCTGATGAGATTCCGTGAGGCATTTCATGAGGGATAAAACAGATAGAGGAATAATAAAAAAAAACTGTCGGCTCCTACAGACGCAGTAGGAAACAAGAGTCCACATTCTAAACAAACGTTGGTCTAATTGATTTTGAATTTCCTGTTTTTAGGTTTAATTTAGGTTTGCCATGTTTTGTTTGTGGCTTCATACCCTCTTAATTTTTTTTTTACATGGAAAAGGTAGGAAAAATTCTTTATTTCACAAAGTGTGAAAACACCATTTGTAAAGTTATGGCAGAAAGTACGAGATTCATTTTTTTTCTGCAAAAATTATCTCTGTTTTAAACAGTAAGGATATTTCAGATTATTATGAAACAGAACTAAGAAGAGCATAATTAAACCTAGTATATTTCTTGCTACAAATTGATAAAATCACTTGCGTTATAAAAGTTTCCACTTGTGTTTGTGATATATATATATATATATATATATATATATATATATATATATATATATATATATATATATATATATATATATATATATATATATATATATATCCTTGGTTAGGCCTCATTTAGATTATGCTGCACAGTTCTGGTCACCATATTACAGAATGGATAAAAATGCACTGGAAAACGTACAGAGGAGGATGTCAAAACTGATCCCATGTGTCAGAAATCTTCCTTATGAGGATAGACTGAGGGCCCTGAATCTGCACTTTCTAGAAAGGCGTAGAAGTAGGGGGGATATGATCGAGGTGTACAAATGGAAAACAGGAATAAATAAAGGGGATGTAAATAGTGTGCTGAAAATATCCAGCCAAGACAGGACTCGCAGCAATGGTTTTAAGTTGGAAAAGTTCAGATTCAGGAAGGACATAGGAAAGCACTGGTTGAGTTGTGGATGAGTGGAGCAAACTCCCGAGTACCGCCATAGAAGCTAAGACCTTGTGTAGTTTCAAAAATATGTTGGATAAATACATGAGTGGGTGTGGGTGGGTGTGAGTTGGATCCGACTAGCTTGTGCTACCAGGTCTGGTGCCGTGCTCCTTCCTTAAGTGGAAGTGACTTGACTTAGGTGGTTCATTGTTTCTAAGCGGTGGGGGGGGAAGGTGACATGGGCCTCTTCGCTTGGGTCATAGCCTGTTGCAGTGTTCTTTCTATGTTATATATATATATATATATATATATATATATATATATATATATATATATATATATATATATATATATATATATATATATAATCTTCAATTAAATAAGTAATGTTTCAAGCCTTTTCATACCAATATCACAGGTAAAAAAAATCAATCTGGATCCATCTGTGTTGCTCCAGCAGCAACACAGATGGAGCCACTGCAATACTAGGAAAAATATCAGGTGCTGTGAAACACAGAAAAAATATATTTACACATCCCGAACATAACCACTGTTGTCTCTATATTCGTGTATTTAAATGATTTCTACAAGAACTTAAATATTCACCCTAAAATGTAGTCTGTAATGTCAGTTCAAATCAAAGCAAGATATTTAGTCAACGTATGAAAAACTAACTTGCATAAGTATTATGTTGTATATGTCATGTATAATATTAAATATTCCACCACATACAGAAGGTGTAATACTCCGTTTAATACACATTTCCGTGAACATAATGTTGCAATGCAAGGTATTAATGTAACCCTTCAATTTCGAAGAAAATAATAACTTCATTTAAAATAAACCTCAGAATTGTAGGTGAATATTTTAATGAAATTTTGTAAATGCTTTCCAAATATTTAATGACTTACATATTAAGTGGTGAAGCCTTTCTAAGTGAAAATGTAAAAAAATTAAATAGTAAACTATTTCGTGATTTCTGTACCTTAATCAGGAATACTATCCTCCTCCAACAGAAACATTAGTTAGAAATCCTTTCCTTAACAATTTATTGTCCGAACCATTTTAGACATCTTTCCTCTGAATGAGCTCTACGAAGAGTAATGATATGGAATAAAAGCTGTTGACCAACCCGTTTCCATTTTTTTAGAGCAGTAAATTACATAGTGTAC